TTGAACATGATGCTGGGACACTTTATGACCGAATGAAAAATCATGAAACTTTGCAGGAGTACGTAAATAGAAGTCTTCGTGAATTGATTCTTTTATTTTTGAATTTAATCATTAAAAAAAAAAAAAATGATAAATAAACAGGTAGAGTTCGTGCGTAAAACTGCCTTATCTCATGAGTCATCACATATTTAAGTAGACAAGCTTAACTATAAAGAAATTGTTAATAAACTTACAACCAATATAATCTTTGAGACTGATTTAATTTTTTGGTTTTTTCTTATTTTAGTTTATATGACTTATAAGATATAATTATTAAAATGCAGCTAGGTTAGGGTAAAAAACTTATAGTCAACAAAAAATTTAATTTACTATATATCTTCATGTAGGCCGCAAGAAAGTGCTAAAAGTAAATTATCTAGTTAAATTTTTTTAAGCAGTGGTTAGAGTCTGGTAATCTCCTTCAGTGCATTTTACATGTGGTTCAAATAAACAAACCGATATATTAAATTATCATTTGTTGTCACTGGTCCAGACTGAATTACCGATATCAGACTGTATACCATGTTTTTAAGGAAAAAAAATGGTGTGTGTACTTATGTACACGCGTTAGAAGTTATACTTCTTTGGCACATGATAGAAAAAATTTTAAAGAAATAAAATGCAAAAATGATCGAAGAAAAATGTTAAAAAAATTCAAATAGGTTTTATCATAGTAAAAATTTAGCTATGCCGTATAAATATAAAATCATTAATTATCATATGAATTTAATTCAATATTATTTAAGATTTTTCTGAATCAACTAATTTTGAAGCTGCAAAGTAACAATAGTTTACAATCGATCGTTATAAAATATTTTAATTATTATGAAAATTAAGTTAGCTGACATATAAAAATTTTTAGAATTTTATTATTATATACTAGAATATACAACTTGAACATAGTTATCAATTTTCATACCACTGGAAATAAATACTTTTTTCAATACATTAAAGCTTCTTAATAGTTACAAAAATTTTGTTCTCATAAAAAATAGATTTAGTTAATATTAACGAATATTGTTAATAGTAAAAAAATATTTTTTCCAACCAAAAAAATATCTGAAAAAGATTTTAGTAAATTCATTTATTAAATACAAACAAATCCTTCTATCAGTGTAATTAATTAATTTTAATCAATAATTGCTACTTTATTACAACTCAGTGGCAATAGATGATTAGGATTAATGATGTATTAATTTCTAATTATTAATTATTAATAAACTCGTTAATTATATATTAATGGAAAATAATTTTTTTTTCACGCTGCATTTAAATATTTCAGGTAATGACACAAATCAAAATCCACCAAATGAAAATGACGTTGAGGCTATCACATTCACATGTCTATCTTGTGTGGCATACGTGACTATGCTCGTACTCCCGAGGTCCCGCGCAAAATAAAGCAGATCGACGTGATAATTTAACATATCTTTGTGTAAACTCAACATATTATGTTACTATAGAAGACATCAACACAGCCTTTATATTGAATTGACATTTAAAAAGTATTATTTATACTACTAACTGAATGGGAGTATTCTTTAACATAAATTTTGTGTTGGTTGGCCAGTAACATTAAAAAAGTGTAGTTTTACTTTGAATTAATACTGGAGTATGTTAAAAAATGGATGGATTGATCAATACAAACAGTTTGTGTAGAATTAACATAAATTTTATGTAAAAAAATCATCTACACATAATTTTATGTTAAATTTTACAAAAATTTTTTTACTGTGTAGCATTTTTAAGTTCCAGGCGCTTTGATTTTTGGTAGTTATCTTATTTTGACCTCTTTTCTCTCTCATATATTGACTAATATACTTGTATTTCATCAAGTAAATTAAAAAAATATACTTGAAGTTAAAATTTTTAATGATTAAACTCTATTTTTTTTTTTGCTAGTAATTAAATGAATTACATACTGAGTGTTCAATTATCTATAATTGAGAAAACCAGGAATATGTTATCTCTGACGTATTTAAATGATAAAATGGGTTTTAAAAGTTAGTTTGCGATAATTATGAAGGCCTTCACCTGAATTTGTGATTTTGTTAAAGTTTCATATGTTTTTCGGCGATATCTAATTTGTTATGTCAAATTTTCGAAGTAGTTCTAAAATGATTCAAATTTCGCGCCAGATAAAATTTGTTGTTTTTTAATATTATTTACATGATATCCGTTAGTGTGGTTAGGTGACAAACTTTTAACAGTATAAAATGAGTTAATGAAGGAAAGTACTATAAAATGAAAGGGAATGAAAAATAAATTGTAAATAATGAATTTTTTTGTAAATAAAACTATTGATTGCTTTATTTTTCATTTTTTTATTAATTTCAGCTAATTTCGATAATCGATCTCATGCAGTGAAAACATACTTTACTAAACTATTTAATATTACCAATTTTGCATTAAAAATAATTCAAAGCCGTATAACATACTATAGATGGTTTTGGAATAGGAAAAAAACAAAGTTAAATATCTACTTAGTAAAAAATATATTTCTAATGAATCATCATGTTGTATTACCGTGCAAAATTATAGTTATGAGAAACCATGAGAAAGTTTTTTGTCTTTCCGGTGGGTCTCCTTCAGACCACCCACGACCCAGGAGTTTTACACTAAAAAAACCAACATTAATTTTAATTTTTAATAAACAAAAATAATTTTATCATTAAATGAAAATTGGCAGTCACATATACGATAAATAAAGGAAGAATCTTAAATACTTAAGCACTTAAATACTTGAACACGTCGTTAAACTTGGCGAATTGCAGTAGGAGGTAAATGAGAGGTTTCACGCGTATACGTCATTATACTTCCTTTTAAAATCACCTACTTTATTTATCACATATGTAATAGTATATCTTTATCTTATAAAAATGAACTCTCATTTTCTTCAGTATTTTCTTCATCAGTCATAATTCATAGTTCATAGTGTATAACATTTAGTACTATTTTTCTGAGTAGTAAGTAGCTGACCAACCCTGTGAAAAACAAAACACAAATATTTAAATACCTATTATAATTTAAGTAAATATGTTAATTGTTAATGAATTAACAAAGAGACAAGCATAGCCAATGAATTAGCTAAGCCAATATTATTATTTGATCTTAAAATCCTAGACACTTATTCCCAAGTCTACATCTCGTTCCATATAACACTAGAATGTGTGGAAGGGAAGATTCAGGTAAAAACTAAAAAAAAAAAACTAAACAAACAAAAATAAAAAAAAAAGTTAAAAACCAGTCTCATGCACTCTTCGTAGTAGTTGCCCGCGAATGTGAGCTCTCTCTTTTTCTCATGCGCAATCGTATCTCCTTCAACTTCACCACCTCTACTCTACCTTCTTCTCTTCAATCTTAATACCCAGATCCTCTCTCTTCCATTGCTACCATCCGCTTGTTCCAACTCCAACAGTGTTCCTTCATCTCCAATGAGAGACGCTTACTGATATGTCACGAAATTTTATTAGTTTAAAATTTTTCATTTAAAATAATATAACATCATTTTTTGTTAATCTTGCTTTTTCCCATTTATTTCAACATTAAAATTTGTGTCCAGTGTTTTTTCAAGTTGTTTGTTTTTGTGACTATTGTCATCTAAAAAAAAGATGATAACTTTGAAAGACCATAAAAAATAAAGTATTAAATGGTATTATTGATATTGATTGAGACAAAATATGACTCGTGATTTTTCAAGTCGCAACACGAACCGGTTGCACACTCTTAAAATAGTTTCCCTGGTGTAGGTAACTGGCTTTTTATATGAGAAGCTATTCAATTTAAACATCAATATTTAATATTTATATAAAGGTAAAATATTTATTGACTCAGTTTTTTATCATCAGAAATACTTAATCTACTAAAATTTGCGTCTATGTTTTCTTCTCCGTCAACTACAAAAACATTTCGTTTTCAATATAATAATAATGATTTTGTTATTATAATTATTGATCTCAAAGTAAAGAAAAATTTTCCAGAACATTTAATTAGAGATTCTATTTATGAAAAAAATTTTTTTTTATTCCAATGATAAACTGAATGTTAATATAAATTATAAAAAGATGTTGTGAATTGTTTAAGTTATTTAATTGCCTTAGGGCAAAGGTCGTGTTTAGATTGATCTCTCTTGGTTTTATATTTCTATCTTTTTTAATACATATAAACATTTTCATTTATTCCAATGCTATTTTAATTTATTATTTACAATCCTTTTAATTATTAATTTAAATTCTATGAATAAAACATTCGATGTTTAAAATTTTTATTTTGTTCTTCTTTTCAAAGAATTGAGATATTTTTAATTAATTACCTGGAAAGTAAACAAAATTTATTTTAATATACTTGTCGATGAGCTCTTAAAAGGGTCCTTTCACGAGAAGTGGGGATGAAGGTAATAGGATATAGATGTTCAGAGATCCTAAAATTCCTATGCAGTTAAGTCTTTAGTTTTTACTCTCGGGGTCCACTGAGAAAATTTTGATTATTCTTAAGTTCAACGTAACAATTTATAAATCTGAATTTTGAAAAAAAATTTGTAAGTTTCATTTTAAATAAGAACGATTTTTTTTTCTCAATTAAGACTTTCCTTTCAAATAATAATAATTCTAATGTACAATATGTATATTGATTTTTATAAATGTGATACGTCGCATATTCTTGAATGTATAAATAGATCACGAATATGTAGTTGATTAGAAAGTAAACATATTGAAATTTATTGGTGAAAAGTAATAAGCAAAATATGTATTATGATTATTAGATTTGAACAAACGAATTTTTAATATTAATTACAGAATAAGTGGGTTTTTATGATAAAATAAATGATTAATTTAGAATGTGACCTCGGAAATGTACAAGACAAAGAATCGTGCTTCTCGTTAAATTTTTGTCGGATATAACGTACGCTCTTTATAAAATTAACTTCCTACCGCGTATGTGTTAATAAATGCCAATGTAAAATGTTTTTAGGAAAGAAGAAGACGCCTAATGTTAAAAAAAGAACAAATTAAATAAATTTCTATCTGCACACACTGTCAACTGATTAATTAAATTTTTAAAAATAACAGTAATTATTTTTGCTCACAGGACACGATGGCGTGGTCGCAGAATTTAATTCTGATGGGAACCACGACGATTATTATGATTATCGGTATGACTGCCGTGAGTTTTACTGCAGCATGCAACGAAGCCATTTGTGCCAGTGTCGTGAGCAAATGTATGCTTACACAGAGTTGCAAGTGTGACCTCGTCACCTGCACTTGCTGTAAGGAATGCTTCTCATGTTTATCTTACCTCTATGATGAATGCTGCTCCTGTGTTGGTATGTTAATTTTGTTTCAATTATTATTTTTTTTTCTTCTTTATTTATAATTAATTTTTGACTGTTATTTTTTTAAGATTTGTGTCCAAAACCGAATATAACCGACAATCCTCTGAGTAAAAAATCACACGTGGAAGATTTTGCTGAACCTGTGCCAGGACTTTTTCAAGCACTCACTGCTGAACCTGATCCACACGAAAGATGGATCACTTTTACTTATCCAGTTGACTTTGATGTCTCGTTATTCCAGCCTAAATCTGAGAAAGAAATAAATTATCAAATGCGTAAGTATATTTATCATTTTTTCATTGTTTCTAGTCAGTCATACATGAAATGATGGAAACTGATGCTTGAGAATGTAGCCATAATAATTTTAACAAGTTAAAACTGAATTACACCTGAATGATTACTGTATTTTGATGTTTTGAGCTCGCTAAAGTATTTTTTTGGTAAACTTTATCAAGATATTGGTTTGAAATTAATTCCGTTATAATGTTGAAAAATTCTCTAACTTTCACAATCTGTTTACTGATCAAATTGCATCTATGTTTAAAAATTAAATAATTGTGTCTATCAATACCCATTTCCGATTCATTTCGAATCGAACCACACTTAATTGTTGTAAAAATTCTAAAAAATATCAAGATAATACTTATGTATATGTTGTTGAAATAAGTCAAATAATTTTACAAGACTATATTGAAATTGAATTTAGAGGATCGAGTTCTTTAACTGTAATTCTTAGTTGTTTTTTTTTTTTTTTAACACATTGATAAGATAAAAAATCAAAGATTCAAAATGTTACAACAATGAGCTTTCGCGAATTTAAGGAAGTTGATTTTATTTTGCCAACTTTTGTTATAAAATTGTTAAACGTGGCATTGAACTAAACTTGCTTCGGTAAAATTATAATATGAGATATAATCATACGAGCACTGCAATTTTACTTTAAAAAGTCAGTAGACATCAACTTACAAAAGCGCTGCTGTTACCTACTTAGTACAAATGTGTGAAAAATTTCACATAAAAGTTAGTGATTGTTCAAAGAACTTGTAGTAATAACTGTAATTCATCTACTGCTCTTTTTTGTGCAATAATTAATATAAAAGTGTTCTTATATGTGTTTAAGGAGATATTCTGGTTTAGAAGCATGAATTTCAGGTAATTTTTTGAACTGCCGTAAAAAAAAGACAATCAATAATTTTATTATCCATTTTTTTATAAGTTATTCATTAACATTATATGAATACAAAAAAAAAATAAAAAAAAGTTGAAAATTCAAAAAATTAGCAGCTGATAAAATGGGGGGAGCGCGGTATCAAAAAATTGGCACGTGACCATACCCATGATTCCAACCCTCCTAGCAATCTGAAATAAAAAAAATTAGGAAAACGGTTGACCCTAAAAGCCATCCCTGCAACTTCCCGCTAATTCCATACTCAAAAGCGCTCAAAATTTTACTTATAGTGGTCTTGAGCTCCTCGAGCTTGAAATATAATTTTCGTGGCATTTTGAGCTCTCCAAGCTCAAAATTCTGATAAAAATTTAATAAAACACCATTTTTTGAATTTTTAAACTGCAATAACTTTCGAATGAATAAAGCGATTCTTACGCGGTTAGTAGCATTCGACGCAGTTTTTTAAGCCTCATAAAGAATCTTCAAGTTTGAATTGATCGAGCCAGGAATTTCGAATTAATTCCGAAAAAACACTTTTTTCGGTTTTATTTCGACAACGATAAATCACGATTTTGACCGGGCTTGCGGTGATCGACGTGGTTTTTTGATCTTAAGAGCTGATTTCATTTTAGAATTGATCGGTGAAGCCATTTAAAAGTAATTCCAAAAAAACCACATTTCAAAAAGGTTTTTTTGGTAGTTTTTTTTAGATTTCTTAAAATTTGCTAGTTTGAATCGGTCCAAATGGTATTCAATATCTAAATTGGGTCAAGCCCTTTCGAATGGCGTCAACCGCGATGAAATCGGTCAAGCCGTTCAAAAGTTATTATATAAGAGGGTCACATACATACATACATACACACACACACATACATACAGACATAAGGACATCATCGCTAAAACATTCAGGGAAGCTTCCTAGGACCTCAAAACGTCAAAATCTGATGAGAACTCGATTTTCGAAAAACGGGGTAAAATCATCAATAACTTCCCGATTTTTGAAAATTTCCAATTTTCTAAGCGGGAAGTTAAAAATAAAAAAGATTATCAATCTAGAGTAATGTCGCTATGGCTGGAACTACGGAAAAGTTGAACAAACATTTTTTTACAAAATGGCGACTGCCTGAAAAAAAAATATTTTTTTACCACTTTTTTTGACTTTTTCGAATTTTTTAAAAATAGTAAAATTTAAAATTTGGGGATGACCGTAGTTCCAGCCACAGCGATATTACTCTAGATTATTAATCTTTTTTATTTTCTTATTTCAGTTTGCTAGGAGGGTTGAAATCGTCGGTATGGTCACGTGCCAATTTTTTAAGACCCCGCCTCCCACTTCATCAGCTGCTAATTTTTTGAATTTTCAAATTTTTTTATTTTTTTATTTTGTTCTGTATTCTTATAATGTTAATAAATAACTTATAAAAAAAATGGATACTAAAAATTTAAAAATATTGATTGCCTTTTTTTTTTACGGCACTTCAAAAAATTACCTAAAATGCATGCTTCTAGACCAGATTACCCCTTTAAAAAAAATACTAATGAATGATTATTCTTTTGAACAAATTACAACTCCTACTTACTTGGCCCATAACTTTAACTTCTATTGTAATTATAAGTGTAAGTTATAAAAAATTAATCAACCTTATTATGCATGAAGTAACCTTTGGTTGATTTCTCTCTATCCTTTTTTTATCGATAGTTATGCATTAGAATTGATAAAAACTTGTCAACCCAAATTTCTAAATTAATTGAAACAATTTTGAAGATGTACTTTGAAATGATCGACGATATTTGTTTTATTTATTAGACCCAAAATGATTTTAGCCAAAAGTAAAAGTGCACAACTCTCGTCTTTCTCTTTTTCCTTTTTGACATTCAAAATTTTGAAATCCAATTAATATGTAATATAATTTTGCACTTTATTACTAGAAACTGTCGAAGAGGAAGTTCATCACCCATTGAAGCCAAATGTAATGACCGTGAATTGTACAGTAGCTTATATGGCTCAGTGTAATTCATGGAACAAGTGCCAAGCATCCTGCCAAAGCATGGGAGCGACGAGTTACAGATGGTTTCATGATGGTTGTTGTGAATGTATCGGTGACACGTGCATCAATTACGGAATAAATGAGTCACGATGTCTTCATTGTCCTGCTGATAAAGAAGGTGATGAGCTCAAAGATCAATATGATGATTATGGACAAGATGATGAAGATCTGAGTGAAGAGCTCGACTAAGTTCAACATTTAAATCTAATTCTTTAAATGTGAATTCCTCTTTTTAAGAATAATTGTATAATATTTTATGTGACCTGCAAGTTATATACTTATATCTACGTTTATCTTACGTATTACGATGACATCATCTTCATTTCTAAGTTCCCAATAAAATCATTTTACGTAATTAATAACATTTAGAACTATGTAAATCATCTATTAATTTTACTTTCTTTATAGTTTTAATTCATTATTAATAAATTAAATAAGCTTAGAAATATGGAATTTAGTCAAAAAAATTATTATATATTGCCAGGTTTATGTTTATAGATTCGAAATACATAATGTAACAAAACAAGATACGAATTTTATTATATTTTTCAAAAACCTATCGATGTTCTAATTAACAAGTTATCTAATTCCATATTTTTTAGAAGGTGATTCTTTGAAATTTTCTGGTGGTAATAGTCCGAATACATATTATTTCAGTAACCGATACAAAAATATTATACATATACTAGATATTGAATTGATTTTTAGATGAAAAAAAATTTTTTAATTAACTTTTATTTTGTATACTGTTATGCCTTGGGAGAAAGGTTCAATTTCTTTTAAAATAACTTACACAAATTTTTAATGTCTAAACTATAGTCACATTTAATTGTTTATTTGATAAGATAAAGTTGCACTTCAACTGGTAAACTAATTATTAACTGTTAAATTTTAACTAAATTGTTAAAATTTATTCTGGGGTTAATTTTATAACATAATATTAAAATAAGATCTTTGATTAGAATTCTATAATTTATTCTTAAAGGTTTTCTGTAACTAGGAATGCATGACAATCCGTAGTGTATTGTTACGTCCAGAGTGACGCAAGCACAATAATTATGTTTATTAGTTTCCGAATTTTAGAACTAGCTACTGAAAGCCTTCGTTCAGGGTGGCGGGAACCTCGCCAATAGGTATTTTAATCGAGTACGCAGGATACTATAATTTGTCAAGGAAATGGCCGATAAGCAATGGTTTGAAATTAATTAATACTTATAATTCACTCTTTTATCAATAACAATTACCCGACTAGAAATTGTAGTGAGGAATGCCGAAGAATTAGTGAGGGGCAAGTTTGGCTTGCCTAACTTAGGCAAGCCTAATTTACGCCTTCTTAAATCTACGTTAGACAAAACGAAGATCGCCAAATTTGTGTGTAATTTGGGACATCTATGGCAAGCCGAACTTCGACGAACCTTTGGAATGCCTGACTAGTTGGAAGTAACGATAACCAAAGATTTGCCGAAGTTTGGCTTGCCATAAATGTCCCTAGTCACCTTTAAGTTTGGCAAACCGAACTTCCATAAGCCTTTGGATTTTATAATTTCCTGCAAGTTAGGTATTCCAAACATTTGCCGAACTTCGTCTTACCATAGATGGCCCTAGTTACTTTTAAGTTTGGCAAACCGAACTTCCATAAGCCTTTGGATTTTATAATTTCCTGCAAGTTAGGCATTCCAAACGTTTGCCGGACTTCGGCGTTTCTTGCCAAAGTACTCTAAAACGGAGTGGGGGAAGATATTTGGCTTCAAATCTTTCTAAGGTCAAGCCTTTTAGTTCATTAGTAAGGCATGTCGAAAAATCAGTTTGGAGCGAACTTGGCTTTCCGAACTTAGGCTAGCCCAATTCGAATCTTATTCGTTTTAAATTAGGCAAGTCGAACATTGGTCTTGCTTATAAGTGTCTTGAGGCAAGAGGTCGCTCATCATCGGCGTAGCATCGCGGTATGGTACAGGGCTCTCGTGCGTCGGGTACAGGTTCGAGTCTCGTGTTCGACATATTTTAAATAATTGATAATTATTAATTATAATTACTTTTAAGGTGAGTGTGAAGTAAATTTAAGTGTTGTGTGTGACTAATGTATCTAACTCCTCCATCAACTCCTTCCTTCTTGACTTATAAAATCCCCCAATCAAAAAAAACTTCTTCGCATTAAAAAAAGCGCTAAAAACAAAAAAAAAATAGTTACCGAAAAAATAATGAAAAATAATATTAAATAAAAGAAAAAAAATAAATTTTTTTTTATTCGTTTATTTGAAAAATTTAGTCCTAATTTCAATATTTATACTTAAAATAGTAAAAGTAGATAAAAAAATAAGCATTTGTTATTATTAATTTTCGCTTTATAATAAAAAAGATAAAAACGAAGAAATAATTAAATTTAGATTCTTCTTTGCGAATTCGGTTTCCAAATTGCTGCCTAAATTCGGACCGAATAAGGTTTAGAAAGTCATCAGCAAGTATGGTTTCCAAACCACTGCCTAAGTCGGAAGCCAAGTTAGGCCCAAATTCGCAACTGCGTTACGTCCCAAACTTCAGTCTGGTTTAGATGCCTCACTTGGTGCAAGTTTGGAATTCGGCATGCCTAACTTGCGCTGAATCACTGCCTCACTGAAGTTTCTAGTCGGGATAGACCAGGTGGTTATGTTTACGTAAAGAAAGTAACAAATTATACCTGGTTTTTGGACAGTAAAAATGTGCGATGAAAAGCTGTCTAACCGCTGGCTCGTGCTGACTTGATGCAGGTAGAAAAAGGGATAGTACCGGAGATAAATGATTTTCAATACCGTAAATTCGTTTTATGAACTACTTTTATTCAAAATACTCAATGTTAATAACTGATATAGTGATATAATTAAGTAAAGGTTATTTAACTGACTGGAATTATTCATAGTTCTAACAGCGATTATAACTAATATTCGGTTTGCATTGAATAAGATTTTAAATTAATCTCAAATTATATAAATATATTTTACTCTTTTACTAATCATAAACTACCTATGTGTGATTAAGTATTAAATAATAATTTTTTAGAGTCTTGAAAATGTTCAACGAGAATTTCTCTTTACGTTTATTACTGTTTATTATTATTCACAATGCAAGTGGTATTATTTACTTAATATTTCTTTTACCTGGGGAAGGTATTACCGAGGATAATTTACAATAGGTTTAAATTCACCGAAATAACTATCGTATCTTTTATTCGAATGATTTCAGGATGACAGTTTAGTTGATCGCAGGATTTTATAATGATTTTTAAATGTGTGTCCGATTTGAATGATTTAATTGAACCAGGTGGGGAATAGAGATATACTCGTTCTAAAATCTTTATTTCGTCCCGACCAGAAATTTAAGTTCGGCGGTGGTTCGTTCCGAATTTAGCATGCCAAGTTTCAAGCTCGCGCCGAATCAGGAAGCCAAAGTTGGCCCACGTCCCGGAAGTAACGCAGTCGCGAGTTTGGGCCTAACTTGGCTTCCGACTTAGGCGGTGGTTTGGAAACCACACTTGCTGGTGACTATCTAAGCCTCATTCGGTCCGAATTTGGCTACCTAACTAGGCAGCAATTCAGAAACCAAATTCTCACGGAAGAATCCAAATTTAGTCCTTTCTTCGTTTTTAGCTACTTTTATGATAAAGCAAAAATTTATAATAATGAATGCTTATTTTTTTAATTTACTTTTAAAATTTTAAATATTAATATTGACTTTAGGACGAATTTTTAAAAATACTGAGTAAATAAAAAAAATGTTTTTTTTTTTATTTAGGTATTATTTTTTTTATATTTTTGGTAATTTTTTTCGCTTTTTAGGATTTTTCTTACTATGAAGTTTTTTTTGATTGGTCGGTTTAATAGGTCAAGGGGGATGATGGAGTTAGATACATTAGTCACACACAACACTTAAATTTACCTCACACCCGCCTTAAGAGTAATTATAA